CCCATTGGACCAATTAAAGCTTCTGAACAGTCTTCAAAAGCAACCCCATGTAGAGCACATTGCAGTATTTTCCTTTGTTCCTGTAAGAAACTGCTGGAAAAAAAACCCTCTATGTTTGGTAAGGCCTAGAAATGTAAATCAGTCTTTAGAAACTACTTCCATTCCACAGAATCTTGATGCAAAGTCTCCTGATGGCTCCCATTTTCGTGGGATGGTAAACGTACTCGAAGTTTTAATGGAGCTCTTCAAAATACTAAATCCTATTATTTTAAAATAGACTCAGTACCTTCTTTGGCTCACAGGCAAATAAACAAGTATTGTCCTAGATTGCTACCAAATTAGGTGGATATATCTCTTTTTCTTACATTTAGATTTTGCAACTATTTTAAATTTCAATAAAAAATAATTGAAAGGTGATTCTCACCCACCACCAGTCTACAGCAGAATTCAACCATTTATATACTTAGTTTGAGTCGCTGCCAAGATATGTCTGTGACCAATGAAGTAAATTGGAGTAATGCAAGACTTGCCAAAACATTTGTCTGAAGTCTTCCTTAACACTCAACTCATAGTGGATAGTATCCAAGGCAGGTGAATTATTTTGATTTTTGGTACAGAAAATTTGAGGACGAATATGCCTTCACCTGAATAGAAGACATTTTTTAAGCAAGTAACAACTGTCTGCACTTTCATGACATTTCAAATGCCTAATGGTTGGTCCAACTCTATGCATTGTATCAAGAATTTTTTTGACATCATCATAAGAGAAATACTGTTATCCTTTCTCCAGAAAACATCATATGGAATGAAAAAAATGCTTATGTGTACATTTTAAAATATTTATGTATACCATGTATGCTTGGGAAATATGGGGCACAAGGACACTGACTACTTAATCTGAAAGAGTTCTGGATCAGCTCCATGGCGGCCAAATGCCACTCAGAGCTGATCCTGGGTAAGGCCACTTTAACACAACTCTAATCAGCTAAAGTCAGGGGATAGTCTGAATTCTGGTTCAGATTTCTGAACATCCCCTGACTTTGGGCCCATGTAAACAATTGTTCTAATTAATAGGCCACAACTGTTTTCACTGCTATACCATGTTTCCCAGGCAGAGGCAGCCTAGAGACATGCAATAAAACTTATCATCTCTGCCCTTCTACCAGTCGGATGACATCTGTAGGACAATCAGGAACAGGAGGGGGGGGGGGAAATGGGGTGTTCCCTCCTCTTCCTCCATTGCCCCTCACCCTGATCTACATCACTTCAATGTAAACCATTTGGGACTGATCTGGTGTATACTAGGTAGAAGGAAGGGGAGAGACTTGGATCAGCCTCATGATAGCAGGTCTGTGTAGATCTGCATGGTTAACTCTGATTTCTAAGAAGTGTAGCTGTGCATTTAAAGATAAATGCACTGCTTCATATATTTGCAATATAACCATTGATCTCATAGTGGTGCTTCCCACAATAACTGTTGAATGTTTTTATATTGTGTAAATGCTATTTTAGACTGTAAGTCGCTCAGAGCACCTTGGTGGAGAGCGACTAATTAAGAAATAAAGTGTAGTGAAGTGAAGTGAATAACAATAACAATAACAATAATAATAATAAGTAGTAGTTTTGGAACACAATACGCGAGACATCACGATTGTGGAAAAGGTTTGGATTATTGATGTCGCCATACCAGGTTACAGCTACATTGAGCAAAAACAACAGGGAAAACTCAGCCATTATCAGGACTTCAAAATCAAATAGCAAAGGCTCTGGCATAAACCAGTACAGGTGGTCCAAGTGGCCATCAGCACGCTGGGTGCCATGCCAAAAGATTTCAGCTGGCATTTGGAAACAATAAACATTGTCATGATCACAATCTGTCAACTGCAAAAGGCCACCTTACTTGGATCCGCACGCATCATTCAAAAATACATCACACAGTCCTAGACGCTTGGGAAGTGTTCCTCTTGTGATTTTGTGATACAAAATCCAGCATATATATATCTAATTTGCTGTGACATACTGTGTTTTTGTGTCAGAATAATAATAATAATAATAATAATAATAATAATAATAATAATAATAATATAGGCCCTATTCTAAGTTACCAGAAATATCTCATATTAACACTATGCATATCACAGCACAAAGGCTTTAGTGTTGGAAGAACATGTTTAAAACTACTCAAGTGAGAGCTACAATAATTCAATAATTACAAGACTTGTGTAAATAACAATTATCTCTTGTTTGGGTCCAGAAAATGCTTTTGTTTCAAATAATGAATAAATCTGCCCCTCTTAGAAGGAATGGTCTTTCATACAGCTATTCCACAGGGATGATGGCCAATGTAAGATCTAAAAGAAAGAGAAAAAGGATGCAAGCGTGCACTGAAAAGTGACTACAGCTCGTGTCTGACAGAGCCAATCAAGGGCTGCCCTGCTGTGACAGCAAAGAGTGAGGGTTGAGCCATTCCAAGTCAGGATGAGCTTCAGATAACACTCCGAAAAGAAAGGAGGCAATGAAATCGGAGAACCTGCAAGTGTCAGCCCAGTGTTCAATTCAATACAGGATGTAAGTGAGTGAAATCCTGGAAGACTGTTTACAATAAGGTTAAATGGGTTTTGAACAAAGTATGTCACTCTTATCTGAGAGGTGGCAGGAGACCCTTATTGAAGATATTCCAGAGGGTAATGAAGGATCTCATAAGTTCACCCCCACCTTTGGACTTTACATTTGATTCAAGCTTTCTAATTTCCCTAGTTCAGCATTATTTAGTCCCCTGTTTCTGTTTCTGAATTTAAGGAGGATTTAAAATACATGGAAGAACAGGGATTTATTTCTTTTAAAAGTTCTAAGAAATAAGAAGTATAAATAGCTCCTCTGTTATACGAAAATGATTTCTTTTCACACCTGAAAGGGATTTATTGTTCATTTGTAATTGCTGTGGTAATCCTTGTTCCCCTGGTCTGATCAATTAATAGGAGTGGGGGAAAATGAAGATTCAAACTGATGTAGAACACTGTCCACATTGTCTGAGAGAAGCAAAGTGGGACCGGGGATGGGAAAAGATGATAGGGAGAGATGAGTGATTACACTGACAGAAGGCAATGCATTAGAGAACTTTAGAAATAATGCAGTCTGACACCACTTTACTGTTATGATTCAATGCTATTGAATCATGGGAGCTGTAGTTTTATGAATTCTTTAAGTGTCTCTTCCAAAGGTTACTGGTTCCTCACCAATCTACAAATTCCAGGAATCTGAAGCATTGAGGCATGGTAATTAGAATGGTATGAAACTGCAATAATAGTACAATGTAGATGCATTTTTAGACTTGATAAGCACAACTTCATATTTCTTTTGAAGTGTCCTTTCTGTGTGAAGGTCATAAGAGCTTGTAGAAGGTTCACACATTCCTTCTAAACTTCTCCAGTTGAAAAAGCCCAAGTAGAAGGAAGGGTAAAGGCCTGGAAAGCTGCAGCCAATCAGAATATAAAAGGCAGTGATATGTGTACCAATGTCTCACTAAAAATAGATTCTTATTTTGATCTATGTATGGGAGAAAGCTAAATCAGCATTGGGGAGAGCATGACTGAAGCTTGGCTCCCACTAGCCCTAGCAGCTAAATAAATGTTCTTCTATCCACTTACATGTCAACTAGGCATATTATATATTGGTACAAAGTGAAGATTTTTTTCTGCAGAAAAGGATGTGCTATGTAATGCAGATGTTACACAACTTCTTTATCCACACTGTCTTATTACCACTAACCTATTCCATCATCACCAGACATGAAATAAAAGCTCTAGTCTTATAGTGTTATAGATTAGGAATCCCCCATCCCAAGTCCTTGAAGCACTTTAGCACAACCAATGTTGCTGCACACCGCACTTTTAATCCTACGTTCCTCCTGCCATCTCAGCACTTTTTACCCTGTACCCCATTGCGCCGGCCGAACCAGTTTTAATAGTGTCTTGATGTATTGATGTATCGTCATTGTTGTTATTTTGCTTAATTGTTGATTTGCTTTGTTTATTGTTGTGTTATGTTTTCTATTGTATTGTGTTTTGAGGCTTCGGCCTGTGTAAGCCGCATCGAGTCCTTCGGGAGATGCTAGCGGGGTACAAATAAAGTTAATAATAATAATAATAATAATAATAGTGTTCTGTCTGCACTTTTCAGTGCTGCCTCACTTGTAAAGAGAGAAAGAGCAATGTATTCTATGTTATAAAATAGATGTTCCCCCATCTTAGCATCTGATAATGTAATAACCTGATATCAAGAACTTGTCCATGCTCTATTTGCTCAAAGTTTTACATTGTTTTAGATGCCCTGCAATTCTTTGTTTTCAGCAGTGTGTATTTGTTCAAGATCTCTCTGTAAATTTGCAGATTAATGAGTGATTGATGCTTATCTGGTTTGCCACCTGATGCACATTGTGTATTTCATTGGCATATATCCAATGGACTTGCCAATTACAGAGGGTATAAGGCACCAAGAAGCCTGTGCATGTGAAAGGAAAAAATCAGGATCTGTTGCAGACATGTAAGATACTACCCTCTGATATACTTTTCTTCTTAATTAAATTGTAACCCTTGTGGATTTTATGGATAGGAAGAAAACTTCTTCCCACCTTACAAAAGAATAGGACACCCACGTTCCCCAGCCAGGTTTGTTAGATCTGATGCATTTGTGGGTGTGAAACAGGTTTGTCTTTGGGGCTGAGATTGATTATTCCCTCTTGCAGCTGAATGAATTCATGACTCAGACAATATTATGAGCATTTAAATTGTGTAACAATTAAAGCATAGAGGTGGAACAGAATGCTACTGCCTGTACTGTTTGCCCAAATAGAAGCCTGGCTCAGGGGTTTAGAGATGTCTTCGTTTTATCTCAAGAAGTCTTTAATGAAAAAGCCTGCTTCACTTATCTCTGTTAACAGGATATTTCAGGTCTAATCTTTTTCTCTGTGCATCTGTTTTGTTTTAATTTTATATCTGTAGAACCATGTGAGGAACATTGCTGCTGTGAGAGACACACACAGGGAGCTCTGAGGTTCACACTCCCTTTCCTCTTCACACTCCACCACAGGATGGAACAGAGAAAGTTCTGGCCTCGGATATGGGACTCCGATGGCTGGTCAGTGGACTTGGTGCTTCTTCTCTTGGTTTTCTTTTCACAGAATGTTATCAGTACTCCAATATATAATACCTTTCATTCTGAGAACCGTGATTGGACATTTAACCATTTGACTGTCCATCAGGCCACTGGTGCAGTCTATGTGGGAGCCATCAATCGGGTTTATAAGCTGTCTGGAAACTTGACCATATTGGTAGCTCACAAGACAGGACCCGAGGAAGACAACAAATCCTGCTACCCACCACTCATTGTACAACCCTGTACTGAGATCCTGACTTTGACCAACAACGTTAACAAGCTGCTGATTATTGACTACTCAGAAAATAGACTGCTGGCCTGTGGCAGCCTCTACCAAGGAGTCTGCAAACTGCTGCGATTGGATGACCTCTTCATTCTGGTGGAACCATCTCACAAGAAAGAACACTATCTTTCCAGTGTTAATAAAACTGGCACTATGTATGGAGTTATAGTTCGCTCTGAGGGAGAAGATGGGAAGCTTTTCATCGGTACAGCAGTGGATGGCAAACAGGATTATTTCCCCACCCTTTCCAGCCGGAAACTGCCACGTGATCCAGAGTCATCGGCTATGTTGGATTATGAGCTCCACAGTGACTTTGTTTCATCCCTCATCAAAATTCCTTCAGACACACTGGCCTTGGTCTCACACTTTGACATCTTCTATATCTATGGATTTGCCAGTGGCAATTTTGTCTATTTTCTGACTGTTCAGCCAGAGACACCTGAAGGAGTATCTATCAATTCAGCCAGTGACCTATTCTACACATCTCGTATTGTGCGTCTCTGCAAGGATGATCCCAAGTTTCATTCCTATGTTTCTCTGCCATTTGGTTGTGTCAAAGGTGATGTGGAATATCGTCTCCTACAGGCGGCTTATCTCTCTAAGCCAGGAGAGGTGTTGGCTAGATCCCTCAATATTACAGCCCAAGATGATGTTCTTTTTGCCATTTTCTCGAAGGGACAAAAGCAGTACCATCACCCCCCTGATGACTCTGCTCTCTGCATCTTTCCCATCCGTGCTATCAATGCCCAAATTAAGGATCGCCTGCAGTCTTGCTACCAGGGGGAAGGCAACTTGGAGCTCAACTGGCTGCTAGGGAAAGATGTTCAGTGTACCAAGGCGGTAAGCATATTTACCATATATTAACTAGATTTCCTTTGGAAGAAAGTATTGGAGATATTCTAGTGGTAGCATCACATGAACCTTGGCAGGAATGTTAAGCCCTATAAACCTGTTTGTTGGCATTGACTGAAAGAATCTAAAGCACATCCCTTGAACAGCTCATTATTTTCTAATAGATAATGCTCAGTATTTTTTTAAAAGAAAGTTGACTCTTCTCTCAGCTACAGATTTGTGACCTTGAGCTAGTTCTGTTTTCTCATAATGTGAAAAATGAAAACACCCCTGATGATACATTAGCCCTGGTGAGAAATAATAATTTATAGGAAATATTTTCAAAACAAGCTCCATTTATAAGTGCTGTGTAAAACAGAAGGTGTACCAGGCTATTTCTGTCTTTGCTTTTCCAGTATTACACTGAGAGATGTAATCCTTTTATTGATCATGATGGAAAGTTGTTGCTTTTAATAGCCCAAGCTTTTTAAATATAATATTAGAATACAGGAATAAAAGGTAGATGATTTGAAGAATCCCATTTCCTCTTGCAACCTGGTACAGTACCCCAAAAAAGCACTTACTCTGAGCCGACATGTTTTACATGAACAATAGTCATGACAAAATTTGTGATACTCCCCCCCCCACTTCACACTTGATCCTGAATAGCCATCGCCACACTTTTTTCAGTGTAGAAGATCCGCACAAAATCAATTTGATCTGTAGTTCTAAAGAAATGAACATGTGGTGTAGCTATCAAAAGTGTATATTAATGCAGTCACTGGTGTGATCAGTAATTCATAGAACACTATGAATCTCATGTCCTGCTTGTGGGTTTCCCATAGGCATCTGAATGGCCACTGCAAGGGAAAAGGAAACATGACCTAATAGGCATGTGGTCTGATCAAGTAGGGCCCTTCTCATGCTGTATGTACTTAGGATTCTCACTGTGTCCATTACTTAATTTGCAAACTCACTTTCTTTGCCTGAGCAATGTCACAACAGAGGACAATAAATAACACATTGTTTGTTATTCAGGCATTTTATTTCTGAATGTACTCTGAATGCTTACAGAGGGAGGATGCTGTCATTAGTCCTCTCACAGCAATTGCCAGATGGGAGGAAGGGATGTGGGTATCCCAAGAAGCCTTGATGTGGGTATCCCAAGAAGACTTGTTTTTGAGCAATCCCTTGTCTCATACATGAGCTTTGTTACATTCACTACATTTGACTCTGAAAGAAGACATGGAAGAGAGGCTGCTATATTGCCTAGAATATGTTGATGGGATAGAGAAGTGGAATCTTTTGTGCAGCTGTGGATTTAGTTGAAGTGCACTGGGATACTTGTGGGAAAGCTTTCTGAGAAGTGTTAAGCTCTTGTCTCATATCTAGACTGTTATGCAAAAGGGAGTTAGGCATTTCTCTGACAGGCAGGAACAGCTCCAAGGAGGAAGTCACCATTTCCTTTCTCCTTTCAGAATGCAGACACCTGCCCTTCCTCTGGCCATTCTTGATCCCATGCTCAGAACAGTTGAGTCAAATTGTTTAAAAAAACAAGTGTCCCGCCCAAGTTGTTTGAAGGAAACAGTAGAAAAAAGATTGGTTTTTTTCATAAGGATCTTGAATGGCATTCTGCAGAGGTCTACATATACTTCAGTGAATGGTGGGGGTATTTAAATAATTAAGGGATTTGAGTTTAGAACCCAGGGAAAGTAGAGGAACCATAAAAACAAAACAGAAGAAAATTAAAACTTGATCAAGAAGATCTAAAAGGCTCTGCATCACATGCGCCTTTGGGTATTTTGTATTAACAAATAGCATCGTACATTAGTTGTAAAAATGACACATTGCACTGAATCATTGAGGCAATTCTTTGATAAAGCTAAAATAGAAATAAGGATACAGAAACACGACTTAGAGCTTATGCCTACTATTTTAGTCTCATCTGAACAAAGGGTACATATCAGATGTTCCAAGGAATGTATAGGAAAGCTCCAAGGGTCTACACTTTACTTTATTCTGTTCTTATCTGTCATTCACACTCACCAAAATGCTTTCTCCCTTTCAGCCAGTCCCAATAGATGATAACTTCTGCGGTTTGGATATTAACCAGCCACTGGGAGGCTCTGTACCGGTGGAAGGGGTGACCCTTTACACATCCAGCCGTGATCGGATGACTTCTGTCACTTCCTATGTCTACAATGGCTACAGTGTAGTGTTTGTGGGTACCAAAAGTGGCAAACTGAAGAAGGTAAGTCTACTGTTTTTGATCCAGGGAGCCTGGGGCTACAGCTTTTATTTTCTGTGTGTTTTGCTAGCTCTGCAAAAATGCAGCCAGTTTCTAATAGTTGTGGAAACCTATTTATTGATAAAGAAACATAAAAGCAATAAGAGAATATGAGAGGCAGATCTGAAACAGTCAGAAAAGGTAAGTGGAATTTATAGCTGCAGCCGATTGCTATCTAAAACTCCAATAATTGCCAATGTTGGAGAGCTGCAAATCTGTGGAGAAATGTATGCTTAGATTCTTGTGGAATTTTTGTTGCTGCTGAGGTGATGTGGATTCAATATGCTTGAAACCAGCCACTTCTGTGATTCAATGCTATAATTCTGAAAGGGATATTCAATTGTTTTCTGTATATATTTCATGTGATTCAAAGTTTGATTTCCATTTTTAGTGCTTAGAGAATAGCCACAACTTCCTAAATTTTTTTGCACTTATTATGTTTTGAAAAGAGATGCTGTTTCAAGAGCCTTATGTTAAAAGTAATTCTTTACTTGATTCTTGAGAAGGAAGCTATTGCTTACAAAGTAGCTGCAATATGTGTGAAGGAGAATAACTTGTGCATTTATTGACTGTGAATAGAACTGATCAATAAATATATATCAATTAATATAAAGGTGAGAGTTTTATCTCTCCTGTTGAAATGTTCAGATGTTTTCAGGAATTATTGTTTTTTCATTCTTACTTTCTTACCTTATTCTATCTTTGAACAAACAAATATACAAATAACTTCATATCACAAAATGTTCAGAATGTTATTTGAAAATGCACAATAATGGTGATGTATTTGTTTTCTGCCCAATTATTGCATCCAAATACAAGTGTAACACTACATCACATTTTTGCTGTGTGTATGTGTATATACACATGAGTATGTGTGTCGATAGATAGATAGATAGATAGATTTTGTGAATGTATACTGTATGAATGAAAGTTTCTTGGGAGGGAAGGAGAGAATAACTACATCTGCATGCTTTAGAAATTATTAATACCATATCATGCGTTCAGTTAGTATACGGKTAGCTTCTGGCAAAGTGTTCTTTTGCTAATTGTTCACGGCAGATTCAAATACTYTAAGTACAGTATTCCTTATCCAAGAAATGTTTTGTATTCCAGATCCCCCCCCCCCCAATTTTAGAATACCTGTATTTGCARATATGTGGATAATGAGCTATCCTACACCCAAGTCTAAGCACACAACCCATTTATGTTTTATATACATCTTATGTACATAGCCTGAATATAGACACCCTCAGAACAGAACGGCATCAAAAAGTGACTATGAACAAAGGACTCAGTGAATCTGTACTCAGGGTCATAAATGTAATGTGGCTGCTCTACCTACTTGTATTCTTGCATTTACTTGTTTTCTTGATAAGTAAGGATGAAAATRCATGCTTAGTTTGTTGTCCCATAAGAGGGTGTACTAGTGGCTTTGGTCTGTTRGATTATTCTTCACATGCAGGTTTTTTGCATACAAAAAAATATATTAGCTTTTCATTTGTAGAAGGAGTCTTGGTTTGCAAATAAATGTTTTTCCACAGAAAACATCTTGCAGAAAGTAAACTCTTTCATGTGCAAAAAGGTATTAATTTTAAATCAGAAAATGGGGGGGACGGGACAATTTTCCAAAGTTTTTTTTTTCAGAAAGAGTTCAAAAATATGAAAAATTTCAATCTAGTTTCTCTCTTGCTGATTAATTCCTTCCAAATTTACTGAAAAGTCATCACAACTTTGAATTATAAGACAGTCAGAATAGGGAAAAATATGTCATGTCAAGTAGGTTCTATGAACATAGTGCCACAATTTCTAATTCTCGAATGATGGCCGGTAGTTCAAACATCACTGTCCAGTGAACTCACACCTGATGTCAGTGTGAAGTATAAAGCAGCCATCCCTCATGCTGAACCTGTTTGGGGCATAGTGCTCAGAATCTTGGTTGGCTACATTAGTTCAGACTAAAATACAGTGGGTTTGTACTTTGGTTCCCAGAATTCCTTAGAGTTGCCCAAGCTGACTGAGGCTTCTAAGAGTTAAGAGTCCCAAACATCTGGAGGACCAAAGGTTGGGAACCACTAGTCTAGGAATCTGTAGGTGCTCTATTATGATTCTGCTATCAAGTTTTAAAATTATTATTCACAGCTTTTCACTTTCAGGGGAAAGAATGAAAATAGCTTTGTTATACTCCTATCTGTATGTTATTTTTTTAAAAAAAATTGGATACCTCAACAAAAAGGGAAGAAGAAACCTGAACAAATAGTGTAAATATGTGCATTATGATCAGTTAGCAGACATTTCCATAAAAAAATGGCACACTATGGAAGCACATAATGTTTCAAAGTCTGCAATATTAAAACCACACTTGGGTAGTCCTGCAGTTCTGTCACTCACTACCCAAAATTAATGTGTTGCGCTGTCTTTCAGGATCCTCATCATTTTATTCATGGCCACAGACTTGCATTGAGTACTGATTATTAATTTATTCTAGAATATCATTGGTATATGCTTGCCAAAGCTGGTGAACAAGCATTCATGACTTCACATTTGCTTCTTGGCAGTAAAAGTGCAGAGATCTGCAACATTTTTCGTTGCAGTCCTAAAAATATGTAAAAGGGTTAACTAACAACATAGCCTTCTGGGAAGCCATGGGCTAAGACCTGTTTTTACATGCCATCCTCCTGTCTTTCACCTTCCATCCTTATGCATGTTTGAGTGACAGATTGGCTTCATGAGATAACATTCTTTCCTGTTTGCATCACAAAAGCAAAGCTACTTGCCAGGGGCAAAGACATATTTCACATTCTTTTGCCCTTAAAGAGAGGCCTTGTTTTGTGGAACTTGGGAATCCATGACTAAATTGGGTCTTTCTTATGTTAAAGAACTGTGTAAAATTAGAGGTTGGTGGTATTCAAAGACATTCATTCATCCATTCCTTTCCATTTAATGTAAATAGAGCTGTAGTGTAGAAGGTGATTATGCCTTCTATAGGTAAAGTATTGATGCAGAATGTCAACTGCCATCAAGTCTACTTTGACTTCGATTATATGGTAACCCCGTGAATGATAGACTTCAAAGTCACCCTGTTTTCAACAGCCCTTCTCAAAATCTTGCAACAAGGGAGCATGCGCAATGGCAACATGGGAGTATGCGCCATCTTAGCCCTCCACCCATGGAGCCGTGCCAGCATCATGTGATGGGAGCTGGCAAGTTCGGTGGGTGACCTGGACTAAATTGGCATATGCCACCAAATTTAGCCCTTTGTGAAGAGGTCATTAGTCACATTTGCCCACCTCTATGTATAGCTTTGAGCTCTTAAGTTTTAAGAGAATGTAATGTTGCTCCATAACTATGAATTCAGAGCTTTGTACCGCTTACAGTTGACCACTGGTAATATGATATACAGTTAGCTCTGAGCCTGAGCCATATATTATTGTTTTCAATTCAGTTATATACTCTCAAGCACCATCCCAGTAGTGGAGCTTAGACTTAAAACTCCCAGAAAACCCCAACTAGCATAAATCCTGAACATGCTGTTTGGGGTATTCAGAGAACTGTGCTCCAGAAAGTACTTTTACCAGGCTTTGCACAGGATAACATATTGCAAGAACCCATTATATCAACACAAGAGCGAGTAGCATTGGTGCATCTGTTTCTATTTGAGTGGATGAGAAGAACCTTCCTTTAAAAGCTCTTAAAGCCAGCAGCTTGTGCTTGCATGTTGGCTATTTAATATACCAAGTAGAATTGTGTTCCATTAATTATGTAGGATTACTAAAGGAATGCTTTTTCTGGGTTGGTTTAATCCCTGATGGCATTTATATAGTGGAATCTTTTTAAACGGCTACATTTCTGATGCGGAGTGAGATCTATAACTGTTGGACTGCTTTACTGCATTGGCTGAGTAGTATAAAGAAAGGAAATGGGCTTGCACATCTATATGATTGAGCTAGCAAAGATTTTTTAAAAAATTGTACATAGACATAGAGTGAAAACAACCTCTAATGGCATTTGTAAGATATTATAAGTCTTTACATAGTACTGGATATATCAGTCAGACTATAACTACAATAAATAGTAAGTATGTAGTATGGTATATCATGTATGCCTGGTCCATCTTTCCTGCTTTTACTGTTTCACAAAAATACTAGTCTTCCAATAAAGGAGACTAAGATAAAGAGGGTTAGTGAAGAATTTGGCTATTTTTAATCTTTAAACCAGAGAGGGGCAACTTCTGGCACTTAAATGTCTTTCACCTATATTTCCCATCAAAAGCAGTGAGGAGGGGCCATGGAAAGTTATAGTTTAACAATAGTCACCCCACTCTAGATACTAATGGATTTCAGTTTATGTGTAGCAGTTGTACTCTTACCAAAGGCTTTGCTATTGGTTTTCAGTCGGAAAGCAAAATCAGAGGCAAGAGAACTATATTTCATGAATAGGGGTGGATCCAGACAGGCCTTATCCCAGGAGAATCAGTGTTTTAAAAATGCAGATTTTCCTGGGGGCCTGTCCACACCCACACCAGAAAGTGTGCACTTTCTGGTGTGGGTGACCAGACATTCTCCTGAGACTAGCCAGGGAGAATGTCTGGAGGCCCTACCTCTCTCCCCCTAAACCCCCAGACCCGTTAGAAAAGTAATGAAAACTTACCCAGCCTCGTAGAAATTACCTCTCCTCCCCACTCTCCTGGTATGTCATTTCTATGCACCGGGAGAGCTGGCTGAAGCCTGTAATGGAGGCCAGGTAAGTTTTCGTTACTTTTCTATGGGGTCTGGGGGCTTCGGGGGAGGCATTCCCAAAGTTTACTGGGCTCATTTAGCTTAGTAAACTGTGGGAATACTGTCTGGACTGCAATATTCTGCAGTCCAGAACTGTAAATAGTGGGTTTATGCCACACCTTCCAAGAAGGCACGGAATAAAGCCACTATCTAATTAATTTGCTACAAATCAGGGTTTTCCTGGTTTCT